GCAAAGGGACTATCAAGAAATCAAGAAGTATACCCAAGACTGGCATAACAGCTTGAAAGAAACTAAGGACAGACTATCTGAATTGGAGGGCAGACTTGAAACATGGGAGAATGAAATGAAAAACTTCTTAAAAATAACAAAGAAACACACAGCAATAATACAAAGACAAGAAGATGATAAGAGGAGCCATAACTTAAGGATTAAGAACATAAAAGAAGAAGTAGGGACACAAACAAGTGAACTACAAAAGCTACTCACAGAAATAATCCAGGAGAATTTTCCTAATTTAGCAAAAGGTAAAGATACTCAAATGTATGAGGCATACAGGACCCCAGCTACCTACAACCCTAACAGAGAAACACCCAGGCATATAATAATAAAAATTCCAGAAATTCAATACAAGAACAGAATATTAAAAGCTGTAAGAGACAAGAAACAGATCACTTACAAGGGAAGACCCATCAAAATTACAGCAGATTTCTCTTCACAAACCATCAAATCACGAAGAGCATGGGGAGAAATAATTCAAGCTTTGAAAGATAATAATCTACAGCCAAGATTGAGATATCCTGCACAACTGTCCCTGGAAATTGATGGAAAAACGAGGTGCTTCCAAGATAAAGAGGAACTGGGGGAATTTGCAACCACCAATCCAACCCTACAGAAAGTATTGCAGGATATTCTAAAAAAAAGAAAAATACAAAGAACCCAGAAATAGGGGCAGGGAGGCCACAACGAATAGAGCAGAGACCAAAACGAAGAAGACAAACTGACAGCTACTGACAGAAAAAGAGCTCAACAGAAATGAGACAGAGAAGATTGGATGATAGGAACAGCTTTTTTTGGAGAAAATGACATCTTAATAGGTAATGCTGATTTAGTACCATCTTGTTTTGAAGTCTCATCTAGCTTTTGTTCTTCTGTCTCCAATGGTCTAAACAGGTTGTATCTTATTGGATTTTACTATGTACGATAATATAAGAAAAAACCTTTTAAAGACAAGGAGAATATACAGAGACCATTGTTCATTTTCTGTTAGTCGATTCTAAATACTCTATAATGCTGTTATTCTCTTAAATGGATTTACATTGTTTTGATATACTTAATGCTACAGTATATGAAGTTGTACTCAAGGACTTCAGGGAGGGAGTCAATATGGTAACTATTTTTGGGTCAGGATTAGCTGGTGGTGAAACACTATTCTGCTTAAATGGTTATGTTTTGATCTGCCCTGTTTCGCTGTTATGCCCTCTTTTTTTCTCAATCTCCACTCCATTATTTACTTTTTTATTTTTACCCATTTAATTACAGGGAAAAATATAGCAGGATATAATATAGTAACCCACTTTGACTTTCTATTATCTCGATTTGAAGCCCTGTATTACTCTCACCATCTTGTTTTTGACTGAGGTTCCTATATTCTGTTTTGCTGGATAGTATCAGGTTCGAAAGTTTAGGCATCAGCTGAGAAGATAATGAGATTCATTACAACGCCCATTCTCGTTGACTTTTATCTACTTTTGAAGACCTACAATGTCTCCAATGTTTTGGTTTTGTCAGTTTTATTCTTTACGGTTTTGTTCAATTGTATTACAACTAATGATATAGGCAATTCTATTAGAAATAGCGGGAGGCATTAGGGTAACCATTGTTGATCACCTTGTATTATGTTTTTATATTATCTATTATGTCCACCCTTTTGACTTGACCGATTCTGTTCTGTTATGTCACATTTGGTTTTACTCTCTTCCAAAAAAGCAACAAGAACCGTGGGAGCAATGAAACCCAAAATGTGTAATAGTCACTGTACAAAAGAGAGGAAAAGAAAGTGCTCTAAACTATATAACTGCATGTATATTTAAAAGTATAAGATAGAAAATGATATCACAGAGTTTTATTGGATCATTGAACAGAACTGTTTGCAGTATCATTGGTGGAATGTCCACTCTACAAGCTTTAATTTTGTGACTTGAACAATTATTTCTAAGATGGCAATATGTAATCCATTAACTAGTGATTTCCTACTGCGCATTTTTTTATTCTGTAAATCTGTATAACTTGTACCCCTTCACTGTTTTTTTTTCTTTCTTTTCTTTTCTCCTTAAATAAAAATTAAAAAAAAAAAAAGAAATGAATATCAAAAGTATAATTCTCAAATGATAAGAACAAAACTATGAGCATGTGTTAGAGAATTTTTAGAGCTAAGAACTGTGTTTTAGAGGATGAGTCATTTGCAAGTCAGTTTAAATCTTTGTATATATACATATATATATAAATGGCATAGTAAAATCTTTATTTGAATTACATTATGAAAGACTTCAAATTATGTATCTTTCTAAAAAGTCATTATGTCACATTGGCGCATCCCTTAAAATTCTGAAATTTTACATCTAAACTGCCACATGTTAAATTTGAGTTGACATTTACCCCAGACATTAACTGTGCCCAAACATACTATTTATGAGAGTTTGGAGTTTGGATTTTTACTATTTTGTTTTATGATGCTTTACTTAAGCACAAAGTAGAATTCAAATCACATTGCCCTTGTATTTTGCATATTTTTCAATAAAGGTGTTGATGACTCAGTTTTAGCAAGTTATTATTTATGTTTTCTTCATCTCCTATTTGCCTGCTAAGTTTGTGATTCTGCGTTGGTGCAGAGAAATGCAGCCACCAAAAAAGCACACTCATTCCAAGTTAGTCTCTGAAGTTCCCTAAAGGGAACAGATGACTGCAATAAAGAGGAAACTGTGTATGGTAGACTATCTTGAACTCCTTCACCTTTAAGCTCATTTCACCACTTAACTTTTTTTCAAGTCATCAGTGGATATATTTAGAGTCATTATCCTCTTGGTATTGACTGAAGCCTCCTGGTGTAAGCCATCTGCCATTCCTTAGAATTACTGTGGCGTGTAGGGACAGTGGAAAGTGATAGTGGGATCCCAAAAAATCTTCTCTTGTCTTCCAGCTGCAGAGTAGTTAAATACATCATTTCTGTGATGTAAAGTGATTATATCTTCCATTTGTTAGTTCTGCTTGTTCAGAGTTCAGTACTCATTTAGAATAAAGAATGTCCTGTAAAATATTCAAATAATAACCTTCCTTTTATGGCTTAACTGAAACTCTTCCATGTGACTGCTGTTGAATCTCAGTTATCTTAACAAAAGACAGAAGCAAAGTTAAATGTAGGCATGCATTCTCTGATTAAGCATTTACTCAGGCCAAAAGCTCAGGCCACTTATGTAGCTTCTATAAATCAATTCTGTCTTATTACATAAAAGATACGTTACTGAAGAATGTATTTTGGACTGTGAAACTTAAGTGTTCACCAACTTCATTTTGATTATTTTTTAAGTTTCATATGTCCACTTCCCTTCTAAATCTACCTTTTTTTTTTTTTCCTTCTGGACATGAACCACCGTGTAGTTAGCCAAACCACAAAGAATTTGTAAAGTTTAAATTACTGTTTCAAAGTATACAGATCATTGCCAATAAAGTCAGAACTGTAAACTTAAAGCATTAATGAGATAGAAAGAATTACCAGTGTTCAAGGTACCCCAGGAACAGATGGCTTTATTTTATCCACTTTACAACAGTTTACAATGTGTTATATGCTCCATACTTGAAAATGTTTCCAGTGTCAATGTCTCGTTTTACCTGGAAGTTATACAGTGCTTAACCAAAGAAATGAATGAAATGGAGAAAGTATATGGGGGACAAGATTATTTTTACTAAACAGAAAAGTCACTAACTTTTCTTTCTTTTCAAGTTTAACCACAACTATACCTAAGAACTGTTTCTTTGTTAAAACTAAAAAGTAAAAACCTTGTTTGATATAATAGGATTAGGATGGTAGCTCAGTGGAAGAAACCTTACCTAGCATTACAAGACTATGGGTTCACTCTTTAGCACAAAAGAAAAAAATAGTTTTTTTAAAGTTATAAATATATACAAAATATACTTTTGGTTATTGCAATGTTGGGGCTCAAACTCAGGGACTTTCTTCCTCTAGGCTACATCTTCAGCCCTTTTTTTTTTTTTTTTTTAATAGTCTCATTAAGTTGTCCAGCCTGACTTCAAATTTGTAATCCTTCTGACTCAGTATTGCAAATATCTGGGATTACAGGTGTGTAACACTATGCCCAACTTAAATATATACGTTTTTATTAAGTGTGTATTTGTGACACATGATAGTTAACTTGTTGGGGGGGGAACTGGTATACACATATATAGATATGTACATATACAAACATCATTTCTTGATGATTTTCCATTCCTCTATTACCAGTCTTTATCCTCCCTGCCCCATTTTTCCTTTGGTCCTCTTCTGATTCTCCAAGAAGTCTGCTTCCATCTTTCCTACCATTTCTTCTTTATTTTACTCCTTGATTTATTTATATTTTGAGTTTCTCTTATCAGAAAAGCATAGAGTATTTAACTATTTGTTTCACTTAAGTTTATGGTCTCTAGATCTAGCAAATGATGTGATTTCATTCTTATGGCTGATTAATATTCCATATATATTTATAATTTTCTTTCTCTTCTTAGTGAATGTTAACTATAAGACAATGTTGCACAGCAAGTTTCTAGAATGTATTCACCTTGTGTAATTGAGGCATTGTGCTTGTTGATAGTAATGTCACATTTCCCAGTCTCTGGGAACCACTAATTTCCTCTTATTCCATGAGTTTATCTATTTTATTAAATCAAATAATTCATGGAGGTGAAATCATGCAATATTTGTCTTACTATGACTGACTTCTTTGGTTTAACATCATATAATAGAAAATTTTTTTATTAAAACAGCAACGTAACTTGGTAAAAACATTTATAATAAAAAAAAAAACCCTAAAGGCCTGCTGCACTATTTATATGGGGCTGATTTTTAGCAAGCTGTGTAAATTCTGTGTCCTCAATTTTATCAACCATAAAGTGAGGGTAATGATAAAGAATTATTACGAGAATTAAATGAAAGTGTTGACATTTTCTTTCTTTTGCAGGCAAGAAGCTCTCTTGGCTGCTATTAGTGAAAAAGATGCCAATATAGCTCTTTTGGAGCTTTCATCCTCTAAGAAAAAGACCCAAGAGGAAGTGGCTGCACTAAAGCGTGAGAAGGATCGCCTGGTGCAGCAGCTTAAACAGCAGGTACTAATAATGCGGGGGCTGGGCTTTTGTGGAACCAGCTTTCACACAGCTTTTTTATACATGTCTTCCAGAGTATATTTCAGTATCTCGTGTTTTAAACATATGATAATGGTACCCAGTTAATTTCCATAATTAGGGGCTCTTCACAGATAACGTGGTTATGTCTAGAAGTATATTCTTGGTAATAAGACTGGTTAGAAGATTTACAAGTCTTTCATGAGAAACTTTTCTAACTGTATTGTGGCTGCTAAGAATTAGTGAAATCTGCCTATTTAAAATGAGAAGGGCATATATGTTTTTTGCATTCAACTAGATTTCTGTTACACAGACATTAAGCATATTTGTTTTAAAGATTTCTGTTAATTCAAGGATTGGTAAGCTCTGAAGATACAAACAGTTTTGTCATTTTTTAACCTTAACTTAAAATTTCTTGGTTTGTTTGTGGGGTTTCTTGGGGTTTGGGTTTTTGTATTTTGGTTTTTGGTGGGTTTTTTTGTCTTTTGTTTGTTTGTCTTATTGAGATGGTTTTGCTATGCAGTTCAGGCCGACCTCAAGCTTGCAGCATTTCTCCTGCTTCAGCCTCCTGCGTGCTGGGGTTACAGGCGTGCATCACCACACCTGGCTTAAAATTGTTTACCTTAGCACCACAATATATTGTGTGACAATTAATTCTAAAGCAGAATATTATAAATCTTACTTGTTTTATTTTGTTTTTTAAATTTTGTTTTTTAAATTTTTTGTTTTTAAATAGGATAAAGAAATAACAATAAAACTATTTTAAAACATGCTGAAAAGAGAATAACAATAGTCAACACAATGTATATCGTTATAGTCACAGTAGTTGTTCAGAGAAAGATAAAGGCATGAAACACTGTCTAGAAAATTTCTAGCACAAAACTTTCCCCTCAGTGAAGGAAACCAAGAGAAACCAGCTGTATAACTATCTTGACGGTCTTGCATTTATATATTTTTTCTTTTTTCTTTCTTTCCTTTCCTCTTTCTTCTGTCATAGTTTTTCTTTTCTTTTGAACAGTTTTTTCCCTATTCACAATATCTATTATACATTTTGGATCTTGTTTTTTCTTTCAGATTCTCACAGTAGTGAGACAATACATATGTGAGTTTCATTTATTTCAGTTATGAGTATGGTCTCAAGTTGCATCCATTTACCTATAAAAGTATCAAGTTTATATTTTTATGGCTGAGTAGTATTCCATTATATTAAAAAATGTATCTTGTTTTTTAGCTGTTCCTCAGTTAGTGGGCATTTGAGTTGTTTCCAAGATTTAGCTGTTACATATTGTGCTGCTATAAACATAGGTGCATATATATCAAGAAGACAAGTTACTCTGGGGCAGTGGAAAGTACTATGAATTGGGACTATATCAGGGGATATCTCCAAGTCTGTATGTTCTCATTACTTCACACTTTCTAGGTATAGGAATTGTTCATGAATGCCAAGGGCCTATTAGACAGTGACAGCTCTATTTACTGGAAGTCCTAGTTAATGCTGCTGCTTCTGTTAGGAAATTACCTTTAGATTAAGGCAGATTCCAGCAATGCGAGGACTAGATACTTTAATTTAAAGCAGCATTTAAAGGAAGAAAGGTTTATTTAAGCTCATAGTTGTAGAAGCCTCAGTTTGTAATCAGCTGGCCCCAGAGCAGGTTGGCATGGCAGAGGAGCATTGCAGAGGAGAAACAGTTTATGGCAGGCAGAAAGCAGCAAAACCAGCAAGCAACCCTCTTTATATTCTATCCAGACTACATGCCCTTAGAGTGGATAGAACTCATACCCTTCCCATTAGCTATACCCAGAACTATGTCAGACCGATCAATGGGCTGATTTAGTAATCACACACTCTTAATCCAGCGTCATGTACTTTAGATGCAGCCACTTCTAAAAAGCCCCACCCATGATCATATGAGGCTTTCGAGGGACATCTAGATAATAGTCATGACAAGTAACAAGTCTAATTCCTGCCTAAAGTTGATGTCAAACCAAAACTATCAGAAGAGACAAAAAAGGTCACTGCATACTGACAGAGACAATAATTCACCAAGAAAAGATAACAGTTGTAAATGTATATGCACCAAATGTTGGCAAACCTAATTTCATAGAACAAAACTACCTTACATAAAAAGGCAGATAACTAACAATTCAATCAGATTGGCTGACTTTAATGCCCCACTTTCACAAATACACAGTTCAAAGCTGGACATTTGACCTATATCTATAAGCCCAACACTCAGAAGACTGAGGAGGAAGATCACCTCGAATTTGAGGCCAACCTGAACTACATAGTAAGTTCAAGGCCAGCCTTGAATACCAAAGCAAGACTGTTGTCAACAACAACAACAAAATACACAGTCCAATCAGCCATACAGAATTAATTTTTAAATTGCCAGAGTTAAACTGCATTATAGAACAAATGAATTCTCAGTGATCATAAAACCTGCTCTTAAATAAATCATATTTTAAACCATAAAGCATAACTCAGTAAATACGAAAGGATTGAAATAATCTCTTTCATCCTATGAGATCATAACAGAATGAAATTAAAAGTTAAGACCAAAAGAAACCTCAGAAATTATACAAACACATGTATATTGAATAATATACTCTCAAATGATCACATGTATATTGAATAATATACTCTCAAATAATGGGTCACAGAAGAAATCAGGAAAGAAATTTTGAAATTTCTTAATTGAATAACAGGGTGATTTAATATATCAGAATAACATATCAGTATCTGTGGAACCCAGTGAAAGCAGTTACAAGATGGAAGTTTTTAGCTTTAAGTGCTTACAGCAGAAAAACAGACCTATCCCAAAGAAATCATGTAATAATGCATTTCAAAGTCTTAGAAAAACAAGAGTAATCCATTCCCAAAGCTAGTAGAAAGAAACTTTAAGGGTTTGAGTAGAAATCCATGAAACTGAGGATTTTTAAAAAGTAGTTACAATGAATCAAAGAGTTGGTTCTTTGAAAGACTAAATGATATTAATAAATCCTTAGCCAAACTAACCAGAAGACTCTCATCAGTAAAATTAAAAATGAAAAAGGCAAAATTACAAGTGACAACACAGTAAATTGGAGAATTTGGAAGAAATGGATAAATTCCCAGATATACCAAATTTGAACCAAGAAGACATAAACCCTGAATATACTGGTAAAAAGCAATGGAATTGATGCTGTAATAAAATCTCCCCTAAGAAGCACCCAGAATCCAATGTATTCACTGATGAATTTTACCATAATTTAAGAGAAGAGTTAATATTGATACTGTTCATACATTTCCATGCAACAGCAAATAATGCCAAAACTCAGTGAATGGTATTACAATGAATTAAAAAACTTCAGCACTGCAAAGAAAACATTCAACAGAATGATGACAACAGAGTGAAGAAACAACCTACAGAATGAGGAAAATAAATTTGCCATTGACTGTTCTGATAGAGGGCTAATATCTACATGATATAAGAACTCAAAGAAATTAACCTCCAAGAAAGAAATGACCCAATCAAAAAAATAGGCAAATAAATTTAACAGACAAAAGAAGTACAGCCTACCTCACATCACCGGCACAGGTGGAAGCCCAGCACAGAGACATACCAGGTGCCCCTCCATAAGGGCAAAGGCACATGCAAAGTGGCAGGACTGCCAGAGTGCAAAATGTCATCAATGGAATCACACCAGGAGCAGTTGTCTCAGTGCATCCTCATCACCAAACTCGTGTAGTTCCTTTGAGATAACAGACATGGATGCTGGCAGTTTGTATGAACCATTTTCTGCACATTGGTTTTATTTAAGGTAATAGATTCTTAGGAAACATGAGTTCCTTTCAACTCTGCAGATTCATAGCAGCTAGAAAAGATTTTAATAGCAGAGCTGCCTCCACTAATGGGGGTAGGTGTACTCTTCCCTTGGAGGAAAAGATGCAGTTTGCGAGATACTGCATGAAGTAGCATCAGAAATGAGATCTACCTCACAAAGACAATAAATGTGTTCTCCACACAGAAAACTTCAGCCAAGTTTTAGGGAAGCTTAGTAGTTTGCTATAACCCCAATGAATAGAAAAAGAAACTAGAGTCTCCCGGCAGAGAAATTATTATATTGCACAATTCAAAGCTCATGGTGTGTTACCAGCCCAATTTCAGAGTGTGAAGTTCATTGCCCACTGAGCAAGGTCAGCCAAGTGAAGAGTTGAGAATATCTGGGGACATTCACTGTGGAGAACCTTTTAAATCAATCACTTGGTCTTTGTAGTCCATGAGACTGAGTTAGCTTGTGATCTCCACTTTTATTGTACAGTGTGTTAATGATTTTCTTAATGTTTCCTTGAACTTGCTACAGGCACATTTTAAGAACATTCTGCTAGTGTGGTTGTAGATCTACAACGAATCATGCCTCAGGCACTTTACCAATGACGGTGAATCTGAATCTTGCAGTAATACAGATGATACTAGAAAGGATGTGTATCTAGATGTTGGTGTTGGGCAGATATCTGTAAAGTACCACTAGCTCATCTACAAACCAAAAATACTCTTGGCCTTTGAATCTCCTACTAGAATTAGAATGTTCCTTACTGTTTGAGGACTAAAGATAATTGATTGCAATTACAAGCTTCCAACATATGAAAGTCTTTTCAGTACTTAGCTTCCTTTTATTCCTGTGATCTATAAGACTGAACTGGTGGTTGTTCCAGGAGTAAAATTTGAGCCAGTTTTGATCCTACATCATAAAGGCAAAAATCAGACGCCTTTATGAGAATGAGTGTGAATCTTAAGAACAACTTGCTAGATTCACTGAGATGGCCTCAAAGTCTTTCACTAGACCTTCATAACCTGCCTTACAAGCTTCAGAGACTGCAGAAGAAGCTGAAGCACAAGAAATGTCAAGTTCACAGAAGTCCAGGGATGTTAACACAAGAAGACACCTCTGCAGCAGTTAAGTAAGTTCCATCATCATTGTGGGAATGCTAAATAGGGACCAGT